AAAGTTAAGACTCTGCCACGCCCCCCAAAAACGGCTCGTTCTAACACGCCCCCACATATCTACCTCACTATGTGAAAATATTAGCATAATGCCGCCCAAATGTGCACGCAAAGAAAGAAGGCGTGGTTTCAGTAACCGCAGTTAGTGTTGAAGCAGCCATGTCAGGGAGACGCTGTGTTTCAGTGTGAAAGCAAAAGCACTTTATTTGGCCTTCCGAAAGTAGATGCATTTAGGAATCTTTAAGATTACTTACAACAGAACAGCAATGCATTTTATGGATGACCGTTTCATGAACCTAGGAGTGGAGGTAATTCTGACTTTGCTATGACAATCTGGCGCTTCTGAATCAGCTACTGTTTTGTTATTAGTTTAAGTATTTGCTATTGACTGTTCAAATGCGGAGTTTTGCGCATCGTGTGTGTGTGTGTGTGTGTGTGTGTGTGCGAGCGAGCGAGTGAGAGAGAGAGAGAGAGAGCACGAGAGAGGGAGAGCGAGAGAGAGAGAGAGAGCGCGAGAGAGATAACACAAGTGAACACAACATGCAGTTTTTAAATTAAGGTTTTTATTATTAAGGGAAAACAAAATCCAAAACTACATGGCCCTGTGTGAAAAAGTTTTTGCCCCCCTAAACCTAATAACTGGTTGGGCCACCCTTAGCAGCAACAACTGCAATCAAGCGTTTGCGATAACTTGCAATGAGTCTGATACAGCGCTGTGGAGGAATTTTGGTCCACTCATCTATGCAGAATTGTTGTAATTCAGCCACATTGGAGGGTTTTGGAGCATGAACCGCCTTTTTAAGGTCATGCCACAGCATCTCAACAGGATTCAGGTCAGGACTTTGACTAGGCCACTCCAAAGTCTTAATTTTGTTTTTCTTCAGCCATTCAGATGTGTACTGCATTAGGTTAACCGAGACTATATTGTTGCTCTTTTGTTAGTTTTGACTGTTTTTATTGTCCTCATTTGTAAGTCGCTTTGGATAAAAGCGTCTGCTAAATGACTAAATGTAAATGTAATTAAATGTTATTATTTTATTTATTAGCAAATTAAATCAAAAAATTGAAATGAAAAATTAATTAAAATATAAAAATGTATTTTTATATACAATTAATTACTTTATTTATTAGAAAATGTAATCTCATTCAAATGAAAAATGTCAAAATCATAGAATTTTATTTATTTATTTTCATAATGATAAATTCATTTCCCATCAAATTTTCATTATTGTAATGCATCTACATATTTTTAATTGATGGTTTTGTATAATACTTTATATTCTCAGTGGTGATTCTCAGTACTGTAATGCAGTCATTTTTTTTATTATTTTTTGTTATAAACTAAAGCATACATTAATGTCAGAAAACATTTAAAAAAAACATACCATGATGTATTAAGTTTCATTGACATTTATTTATTTTTGCATTCGTGTATAAAAATTGGGAGTAGGTTGGTGACCGTGAAAAACCTAGAAATATCAAGGATTTTTGTATATTGTGATAATGGAAAAAAAGCATTACAAAAAACAACAAATATAAATAAATATACATTGCAATTCAAAAGTTTGGGATCAGTAAGATTTTTTATGTTTTTTAGCCTGCCTGCATTTATTTGATCAAAAATGTGGTAAAAACTGTAATATTGTGAAATATTATTGCCATTTAATATAACTTTTTATTGTAATATATTTTTAAATGTATTTTAAAATGTAATTAAAAATGCATGGTAATATCTTATATATATTTACAATTTTTATTTATTAAATATTTTTTTATTATTTTATTTTTTATCAAATCTCTCTAAAAATGTCAAAATCATAGAAATTGTCATAGAAATTCATTAATTAAAAAATATATAAAAATATATGGAAATATAGTTAAATTTTTTGTTTTGTACTTTTTATTAGTGAATTATTTTTAGTTTAATACATTTTCATCATTTAATTTCTTTATTATTGCATTTATTTGATTACATTTATTTTACTACAATTTATTATTTTATTTGTCTTTTTAGGAAGAACAGCATTTATTCAAAATAAAAATCTAAGTATTTAAGCATTAATTTCTTTTTAAAAAATCTTTTGAACGGTAGTGTATATAATAAATATATGTTGTAAAATATCTCTTTAAAATGAAAAAGTTCACAGTAATGGAAATTGATTGGACAGTGGTTTGGAAGCTGTGTCTTTAAAGGGGTCATATGATGCTATTTTGAAGATCGTTATTTTGTGTATTTGGTGTAACAGAATATTCTGACATGCTTTAATTTTCAAAAAACACATTCTTTTTCAAATACTGTACATTATTGTAGGTCCTCTATGCATCTTCCCACATCGTGAGGTAGACATGTGGGGGCGTGTTAGAACGAGCCGTTTTAGGTAGGCGTGTCTGACTCTTAACTTTTATAAAGAATATCTCTTTGGATTTGAGACTTTAGTCTTTGCAACTTTACAGATCTTCTTTATGCACCAAGAGCTTGTAACACTCCAAAGAGAAAGGACAACTTGAAATCGCATCATATGACCCCTTTAAGCAAAATGGACAATAATAGTTATTTCTGTCTTGATTTTGTGGTAAAATCTGTTCCTTAGCCGATCTGATTCACCTGTTGCTCAAATATTGAACAGAAAGAATCCTACTTTGAAGAGTTTTGTGTGCTATATATATATATATATATATATATATATATATATAAATTAGATGCATGCACGTTCCAAGTAAATGCAATTATTTTAAATAAACACATTTAAATTAATAAATAATTATAAATAAATGTAAACAGCAATACAAAAAAAATACAACTGTGAGCCTGGAGCACAAAAGCAGTGTTAAGTCGCTGGGGGATATTTGTAGCAATAGCCAACAATACATTGTATGGGTTAAAATTATACATTTTTCTTTTATGCCAAAAATCATTAGGATATTAAGAAAAAATCATGTTCCATGAAGATATTTTGTACATTTCCTACTGTAAATATATCACAACTTAATGTTTGATTAGTAATATGCATTGCTAAGAACTTCATTTGAACAACTTTAAAGATGATTTTCTCAATATTCAGATTTTTTTGCACCCTCAGATTCCAGATTTTCATATATTTCAATATTGTCCTCTCCTAACAAACCATACATCAATGGAAAGCTTATTTATTCAGCTTTCAGGTGATGTATAAATCTCAATTTCCAAAAACAGACACTTAAGACTGGTTTTGTGGTCCAGGGTCACAGTTGTTAATCGTTTGAAATAAATACAGTTAAATGTAAATACAAAAGTGTAAATAACAAATACATTTAAATAAAATAAAATAAAATCAATTTGAATAAATAAATAAAAGTGGAAAATTAAAAATACTAAATGATGACTTAAAAACTTTTGTACATAATTGCACCATAACTGATTTGCCCACACAAAATAGATTATACATAATATTTATCACCCGTACACTGCAGATGATTTGAGGACAGACACTTAAGACTGGTTTTGTGGTCCAGGGTCACAGTTGTTAATCGTTTGAAATAAATACAGTTAAATGTAAATACAAAAGTGTAAATAACAAATACATTTAAATAAAATAAAATAAAATCAATTTGAATAAATAAATAAAAGTGGAAAATTAAAAATACTAAATTATGACTTAAAAACTTTTGTACATAATTGCACCATAACTGATTTGCCCACACAAAATAGATTATACATAATATTTATCACCCGTACACTGCAGATGATTTGAGTAAATCAGGTTATTGATGCTGCCGTTGTTTTTTTGCTGTTTTGAACTGGTTTCTTCTTTAAAGCGGCGGCAGCGGTTGTCAGTGTTAATTTGCTCTCATCCAGTGCTGATGTGTGATCCACGCTGTGAGACACTGTGAAAACTCCAAACATATTAATCAACACATTAATCACGGCAAAACAGCGCTATATCCATTAGCATTATGTTTAGCGGTGTGAATTGAATATGGGACAGGAGAGACTTCATTGCTTTAAGGTGACTGCTGATAACAGCTCTGGACTCTCCCAGGTTTCTGCTGAAGCCTGATTTCATGCGGCGGCCCGATCGCATGTTCGACCCGTTCTCAGAGACGCCGGTGGACGGAGTGATCGCCGCCACATGCAGCGTCCAGGTGTGTGTTCATTCAGATCCAAACACACAGCCGTTCACAGAGTTCCTGCGGTCATGGACAATCTGTACAGATTTGAAAGCACAGAAATTTCTATAGTGAACATACTTTTTTTAGTAAAACCTGCTTGCAATTTGTTGGTTCTTTTAATGAATTGGTCAGTGGGTTTAAATGATTCATTAGTGAATCTGTCTGATTGTTTGTTTGGTTATTCTTTATTCATTTATGTCTATTTGAATGCATTTCTGTAAGTCTGTTCCTTTAAATTATTTCTTAAAATTATTTTTTAAATGTATTTATTTAGATCTATTTAAATGTTTTGTTTTTTTTCAAATGTATTTAAAATATTGATTTAAGTCTGTTTAAAAGTATTTAAATTTATGTATTTATTCAATTCGATTCTATTTAAATTATTTTTTATATCGGTTTATGTAAAACTATTTATTTCTTTAAATTTTTTGTATTTATTTGAATATATATTTATTTAATATATTTATGCAAATCTAGTTAAAATTATTTATTTAAATCTATTTATGTAAATCTATATAAATGTATTTATATCTATTTAAACGTGTTATTTGAATTTATTTCTTTAAATGTATTTAAATGTGTCTCTTTAAATCTTTTTATGTAAATCTATTTAAAAGTATTATTTTAATCTTCTTTAAATCTATTTCTGGAAATCTATTTGAATGTATTTAAAATTACTTGTATTTATTTGAATCTATATGTACATGTATTAATTTAAAATAGTTGTTTTTATGTATATATTGATTGATTTTTCAATCAATCAATCAATCAACTATCCAATAGTCAGGAACAATTATAAAGATTGTGTAAAAATCCTGCACATTCATTGGTTAAAATGTGCAGGGAATCTTTCTTTAAACTAAGTGAAAAAGACCCTTTTCTCTCTATAAGTTCAACTTTATAACATGTTACCTGAATAATAACACATCTGCATTTAAATGAATCTCTGAGCACTGAGGTTTGTTAGCACTACAGTAAGACAATAAAGCATGTTCATTATGACAAATGAGTCGCTCTGCAGTTTTAGGAGACGCTCTGAAAGTGAGCCCAGTGTTTGTCTCTCAGGTGATTTCAGGCCAGTTTCTGTCGGATAAGAAGATCGGCACGTACGTGGAGGTGGACATGTACGGCCTGCCCACGGACACCATCCGTAAAGAGTTTCGCACGAGGATGGTGATGAACAACGGCCTGAATCCCGTCTACAGCGGAGAAGCCTTCGTCTTCAGGAAGGTGACGTCTTTGTCTCGATTCGGTCACGTTATGCTGTTTTTATGCTTGTTCTCTTTCCTAATGATTCTTAAATTGTAGCTCAGAATAACAGTGACAATGACTTCACATCATTATCTAGAAAGTATAAGACATGAAATTATATAGTGCACTTTAATTATATCTACATGAGCTAAATGGAGTAGTTACTATAGAGATCTGCATTATGAAAGCTGCTAAGCGTCTAATTATCCGCGCAAGCGTTACAATAAAACCCTCACTGGTTTTGCACTAAAGTACAGTACAGTACAAGTCTGAGCATCTTGGAGAGACTCAAACCGTCTTAAAATGACATTTTCAATTATAGGACAATGACTGTGTATTAATAGTACTTTGACCTTGACCCTGAAAATGCTTTTTGCCGTTTTAACTGCTGCTAAAGCCTTTAGAGAGATCTTTAGCTGTGATCCAAGCTCTTTTTAAGCCATTTGTTGTTGTAGAGATTTAGCAAATGACCTAACAAACAGGCCTTCACACTCTGCTTCTGTGATTATTAAGGCTTATTTATTTATCTTAATGTAATGTATTACTATTATTATGATTATTATTTCATTGTTCATTATGTATTTTATTGTATTTTTTTCTCTTTTTTCACTTGTTCTCCAAGGCTTTGGCAATTGTGTATAGTTTATGTTTTAGTTTTTTGTTTTTATATTATATACATAAATATATCATATTCAGTTATGACACGTGAGAACCAGTGCATTTTTGCTGCATCAGATCCAGCATTTTAAAAATCTGAACATGGCTAAGATTTCATGTATTTTTTAGAGAAACATTCTTGGGAAAATATCTATTTTGTGTTCCACGCAAATAAAAGAATAATAAATCAATGTAGAAATAATTGTACAATAATGAATAAAGCAAACCTAAATGCACACTAAAATGTTGAGATGCAAGTTATGAAAAAAAAAAATTATCAAAAAAGGAAACTTATTTATTTATTAAGCCAAAAGTGTAGCTGATGTTTAAATGAATGAATTAATAAATGTATTTCTGAATCAGACGATTTATTAATTTATTTACATTTGGATTAACATATTTTGTAATTAATTGTGGTTTTATAATGAATAAAGAAAACCTAAATTGAAAAAAAAATGCACACAAATGTCAAGGTACAAGCTTTGAAAAAATGCATATTTTTGCATAAAAACAATAAAATAATAATAATAATAATAGTTGTTGTTGTTGTTGTTAATAATAATAATAATACATTTTATATAAAAAGGAGTGTTATTTCTTAATCCAAAATTTCAGTTGATGTTTATAAAAAATAAATCAATAAGTAAGTCTAACAATATGAGCTGTGCAGTTATACTTTATTAGAAAAAATATACGGAATCCTTTTTGGGTGGAAATGTCACTAATAATTAAGTTTTTTAGTTTATTATTTAAGTTGTCAATAAAACAAAGACTATTGGAGTACTTTTTACAAAATAAATGGACTTCTACTTCAACATTTCACATATAATTCAGTGTTACTTGCTGATTCTTCTGAATTTCCTACACAGTGAAAATTGTTTGTACACCTTTTTTTCAGTGTAGGTTTCTGTCTCTTGTTTTTGCCTTTGAAACTTCTTCCTCTAAGTCAAAAACACAAGCAGAATAAATAACACGGCAGCGCCTCGATCCCGCAGGTGATCCTCCCAGACCTGGCTGTGCTGCGCGTGGCCGTGTACGACGACAGCAATAAGCTGATAGGACAGCGCATTCTCCCGCTGGACGGACTGCAGTCGGGTTACAGGCACATCTCCCTACGAAACGAGTACAACAAGCCTCTGTCTCTGGCCACCGTCTTCTGCAGCATCATCCTCAAGACATACGTGCCCGACGGCTTCGGAGGTGAGAGGCCTTTGTGTAAAAACAAGCATGAGTTTCGTCTTAAGTTTCAGTGTTTTCACACTTTGAGATCTTCTCGTTTCAGCGATTGCAGATGCCCTGTCTGATCCCAAGAAGTTCTTATCGGTCTGTGAGAAGAGAACCGACCAAATGAGAGCCATGGGCATTGAAATGGTGAGCATCTGTATCATTAATGCACACAACCTTGAGAGCTCTCCATTTACTTTAATCAGTTCTTCATGCGCTCGTTGAACCGCATGAATCGACTGCTTCCATTAAACTTTCAGCATTGAAGCGATTCGTTGGAATAGTGTTGCAGCAGCACAAAGATGTTCCTGTAGCTTCTGAATTTTGATCTTTTCAGGCTGTTCGCTAAAGCTCAGGTTTCTCTGTCTTGTGCATTTATTCCACACACGTTTTGGCTGCTTAGTATTACAGTACATGGACAAATGTTCAGACAAAAGTGTACCTTCTTCAAATAGTGCAAAACACAGTCAGATGGATGGATGGATAGATTGATTGACAGATTGATTGATGGAGGGATGGATGGACAGGCAGATGGATGGTTTGTGTTTGCATGCTTCTTTGGTTGGTTTGGTTGGATAGATAGATATATAGATGATGGATGGATGAATAGATAGGATGGATGGATGGTTGGTTGGATTAATGGATGGATGGATGTAAAGATGGATAGATTGATTGATTTGATAGATGAATAATGTATGGATGGATGGTTGGATTAATGGATGGATGGATGTAAAGATGGATAGATTGATGGACAGATTGATTGATGGGATAGATGAATGATTGGATGAATGGATGGACAGATGATGGATGGTTGGATTAATGGATGGATGGATGGATGGACAGATGATGGATGGTTGGATTAATGGATGGATGGATGTAAAGATGGATAGATTGATTGATGGGATGGATGAATGGATGGATGGATGAACAGATGATGGATGGTTGGATTAATGGATGGATGGATGTAAAGATGGATAGATTGATTGATGGGATGGATGAATGGATGGATGGACAGATGATGGATTGTTGGATTAATGGATTAATGGATGGATGGACAGATGATGGATGGATGGATGGACAGACGAACGGACAGATGGATGGATGGTTGGATGAATAAATAGGTAGATGATGGATGGATGGATAGATGATAGACGAACAGAGTTTATTTTATACATTTGGAGTTATAACAATGACATTATTTTTATTTGGAATAATTTAAATTGCTGAATCTTGCACAATAAGGGCTTATGAAGATCTAATTAAATTAGCAATTTAATTACATGCACAAATATTTAGACAAAATAATTAAAATAGTATGAGTTTTCTTCAGTGCAAAGCCCAGTCATGTACAGTATTCTCTCTCTGTGCTGTGATGGTGTGGTTTTCAGTCAGATATCGCTGATGTGCCGAATGATGGCTGGATGGGAAACAGGAGGGCGATGCTGCAGCAGAAAGACTCAGAGAGACTGAGAGCAGCGCCGGGACAGAACCCACTCATCTGCTGCAAAGAGGGTAAATATATGAGATCGAGATCAGCATGAGCATAAACCAAGACTGTAAATGAGGAATAAAAATACACAAATGAGTCAGTAAAAGTATAGAGTCATAAAATGAATGTGGAGTGGCTCAGATAATTGATGAGAAATATTTGAACTCATACTGAGATCTCTGCTGTTTTTGTCTCTTCATTCACTTGTTTGGCAATGTCAGATTTTTTAATGTTCATCCAATCTCATTTTGTAAGTGACTTTTCGGTTACACTTTATTTGAAGGGGTGTGCATAAGACTGACATGACACCTTCATAATCATGACATGACACCTACATAATCATGACATGACACATGTCATGAATATGAAGGTTTTTTATGCATGTTTATGACAACTGTCATTAAGTGTCATTCACTCAGTTATGTAATTTTTAATGCAAAGATGACATTGTTTGAGATGTCTTTGTTATGGGCTATGGTAAGGGGTAAGGGTAGGGGTAGGGTTAGGTCAAATAATGTCATATTTGCATTAAAAATTACATAACTGAGCGAATGACACTTAATGACAGTTGTCATAAACATGCATAAAACCTCCTTCATATTCATGACATGTGTCATGTCATGATTATGAAGGTGCCATGTCAGTCTCATGCACACCCCTTCAAGTAAAGTGTTACCGACTTTTCTTTCTGTTTTAAAGACGTTTTCTTTGGATCGTTTGACTACTCAAAAGAGAATAAAGAAAAATATATAAGAATTAGCTTCTTGCTAAAATTCACATAAATAAACAAAAATCTGGCTCTAAATCTCTCTTTTCTTTATTCAAAGTTGATCTAGATGAGTACATGGGAAAATATCCAAAGATCTGTTCATCCTAAAGCAGTCAAAACTGTATCTCTACTGTATATTCATCTGAACCAAATAGTTTGGTGAGTTCAATAAGAAATCAGTTGAAAGCATCCAGTCATCTCATACCATTGAAGTGAATGTTCAGTTTATCAGTATGTATTGTAATAAATATTTGAGAAATTATTGTTGTATCTGATTGTATTAGTCTATATGGAGTGATACTGTACTCAATGTAAAAAGAGCAAATGGGCGAAGCAGACGAACACAAAACAGCAGAACAACATCAAGTTAAAGAGGGTCAACTTTATCATTCAACTGATCTGTGCTTGTATGTTTTAAACACTTCGGCTCCTGATATGTTCACTTCTCAGCTAATATCAATGGTATGACCATTGTTTCAGATGCAGCCGAAATTACAACAACAGTGGTTACACACACATATATTGAATTGTTTGATCAAAATCATTGTTAGGGACAATTTAGTCGCTGGATATTGGTAGGCACATGTCATAGCGTTTCTTCTAAATTCTACAACCTTGATGTTGATTAAGAATTGTGTGTAAAAATAATTTATTGTATAATTTTTATAAAATAATTATATTATTAATAATTATTATTAGAATAAATAAATGTATATAATATAATACAAACAAATAAATAAATTAATTAATAAATAAATAAATGTTTTAATTAACTTCAAACTGGCGTGTTCAGGGTGTAGACTGTGATGATTATGTTTTCTGTCTTTTAATATTGTTGCTTGTCAGATTGTGAGATGACACCAGTGGGATCGTGGGTAAAAGCTCAGGCAGACTAAAGACTTTGACACTGACATCAAAAAGCAATCCAAGACTGTCCTACGGCGAAAAAGACATCTTTCACAATCCCTGAAATTCCCAAAGGCGAAATCGTGGCAAAAATCATATATTATGCATCTGTCTCTTTCTAAGACTGTGCTAAACACAAAGCACATATCTGAATCAGCCAGCGTGTTGATTTATTCACATATTAAGTAACATATTTTGCTTTGTGAATCTGTAGATACATCAGTGCTCGCACCTCAGCTGACCATCGATGACCTAAAGCAAACCAAGGTAACAAATTAACCAGGATAAAACATCTGATTTGCATATGAAATATGAAATGTTTTTCTAACCTCTCCCCAGACCTACTTGAAGCTCGTCAAGAAGCAGCAGAAGGACGTGAGCGCTTTGAAGAAAAAGCAGGCGAAGGTGACCGAAGGCTTTTGTTTGCTTGACTTCATTGAATTGATTATGAACACTGTGTGTGTGTCGCAGACACTGAAGCCTGTAGGGCAGGAAAACTGAGGCACGGATACAAAGACAGAGAAGAAAACAATCCTGCTTCCTATTTCAGGCCCACGTCGCACTGCAGAGCTCCCACTGCACTCAAGTGGACAGGACTGTCGCTCAACATGATAAAGAGAAACAAGCGCTGGAGAAGCAGCTCGAGAAAAGCATCAGGAAAGTGAGGTGAATGTGATATTAGGTTTTCATTACACTCATATGCGCTTTTCTCTTCATGCTGTTTGTAATCGTGTAGGTGACAGATAACTTCTCTGTGAGCTTTTTTATGCACCTATGATACAGGCTTGAGTATCGAGAATCGGTTCCATTTTAGAACCGCTTCCAAATTTCCAAGAACCGGGTATTTGTTAAAGGGTTAATTCACCCAAAAATGAAAAAGTCTGTCATTAATTGCTCACCCTCATGTCGTTCTAAACCCGTAAGACCTCCGTTCATCGGAACACAAATTTAGATATTTTTGATGAATTCCGAGAGCTCTCTGACCCTCCCATAGACAGCAATGTAATTACTATGATATCTGCGATGCCAAAAACTTAGACGGAGTTGTGGAATTAGGTCATAAAAATGTAATTTACTGTATAATGAGGAATCACACAGAATTTGCCAAATTTTGGACGAATAAATCAAAAGAATGTCAGTACACTTGAATCAAAACACAATATGGTCTAGTGTCTGTGAATATTAAGCCGCAAAAATACTATTGAAAAATGAATCCTGCATGTGAATGAATAGTTGTAGTAAATAGTTTTATTTACTACATGCATATTAATTGAAATTATGAAACTTATTCAGTTAGTCATGCTTTTTGATTAATACAATTTAATTTAACCAATAAAAAAACAGAATCCAGAAAAATTAAAACGAAAAAAAAAAACAGAAATTGGAAAAAATAAAAGGAATGTGGAAAAAAATAAAACCGATTTCATAGAGCCCTACTTTGTTTCAGGTTAAAATTTATACAGTGGCACCAACATTATTATTATTTTTTTTAATTTGGGTGTATATATGAATGTGAATGTTCTTTATTATTTTTGAAATGGTTTTGATGATTTTTAGTGGACGTACCACAGGTGGAGATCATCACATTAAAGGGGTCATATGATGCAATTTAAAATTTTCCTTTCTCTTTGGAGTGTTACAAGCTCTTGGTGCATAAAGAAGATCTGTAAAGTTGCAAAGACTAAAGTCTCAAATCCAAAGAGATAATCTTTATAAAAGTTAAGAGTCAACCATGCCTACCTAAAACGGCTGTTCTAACACGCCCCCACATGTCTACGTCACTATGTGGGAAGGCCAAACAAAGTAGTTTTGCTTTCACAACGAAACAGTATTGTTACTGCCGCCATGTCGTGAAGACGCTTTGTGTTTCGTTGTGAAAGTGAAACTACTTTGTTTTGCCTTCCAAAAGAGGACGATATCCGCTTCGTCATGCCTAGTGCTGATCCATGCTGGTCGCTGAGGAAATACATCAACTTC